TATATATTTATATATAAAATGCCATACAATAAATATTGCTGTAAATGGAAGGTATCAGGCAGAGCAACAACAATGACGCATATCGCTTATACAAACACACGGTTGCAATCGCACACCGATATATGAAAACGTTTACTTGTGGGCCTGTGTATGTGTGAGTGTTGTTTGAGAGAGCGAGTACTCTCCCGCCCTCTCTCTTTGATTAAATACAAGAACAACAAAATACAATGTTGTCAGCAGCTCAATTGCTCTCTATCTCTCTCAATGCCGCCCTCTCTGGCGCTCTCTGGCCCTATGTCTATTGCAAACTTCAGCTTGGCCAGAACAAAAACTTTGTTTTCAAATGTAAAACGTAGCGAATAAGTAATTTTAAATGTGTTTTATATATTTCAATCTGAAATGTTTGTGGTTTACCGGGAAGTACAAGAGCTTATAGATACATTTATAGCTTTTAGATATATTTTCTATCACAATTTTCACAATTCTGTTTGCATTTCTAGCATATTCCATGCGCTACCTCGCCCGTTCCTTTGCTTCTTTGCATTTTCTTGATAAGACCTAAATTTGTATTTGTATTTTATTTTTTTTACCAAGTCTGGTTTTTAGTTTGGGGTTTGCTGCGAAGCTTTTGGCTTTTTATTGCCTTCTCTTTTACTCTTCTGCTCATTTACCAAAAAGACGTGAAACTTGAAAAACGAGTTATAGTTACAAACGATCGCACTTTGTTCAAAATACTCTAGCATTGAGTTGTTCAGTTGTGGACAAATTTGCCCACAATTGTCAAATTATTTAATAATAATTTAATACAAAAAAGTGCATTAAATAAAGTTAAAGTTTTAAAAGGTCTAGTTTTCATACTTTTACCATTTTCGCATTCAAATATTAAAGTGTATTTAAAGTTAGTCTTTAGTCAAGTGAATCTAGTATTTAGTATTTGTTTTGTGTCACCTTTTATGTAAATAGAGAAGAAGTGTCTTGTTCCTTTGTTTGATTGTTTTTTTTTTATGTATATTTTGCCAAGGGCCAATGAACAAATGCTGAACCCTAATGCAAACATTTAGTGCGAAATTTTTGTATATATACAATTAATTTCAGATTTTAATTGTACAGTGTTTCAGCATGTTAAGCATGTATATAATATCATAAATAATTTCAGATATATGTGCTATTCATTTTAAAACAGAATGTGGTATAATCCCTTAATGGCATACAAAAATAGTATTGTTTTAAAATTATTTCCTTAAATGTCAAATACATTTTAAAGCAGATAGAATTGAATATATAATAATGTTTTCAGTCTTCTTGATTTACAAAAAAAGTATTTCAATATATTTTAGGTTTAGGTTGAGTTTAGCCTTTAGCAGATTTTAGGGTTTTCTTTGTATGCCTAATCTTTGTGGAACTTATACTATGTTCAGTCTTTAGCTATTATACATCTTTCATTTCTTTAACTACTAAAATAGTTTATTACTAATATGTGATTGTTTATATTTGATGAAAAAAAAGAGGCTGCGCCTTAATGTGCATATTAGTAATCATATTTATGACTAAATTTGTAGTAAGTGGAAAGTTTTTAGTTGATTTTAAAACATTTTCATTGAGCTTTGTGGTAGATTAACTTGGCTCTTAACGAATCAGTTTTACGTGCTATTATGCTTCTTGTACTATTCAAACTGCTGAAAGAAGAGTTGATAACTAATTTATTATCGGCAATAAAGAGCGCTGCGCCTTAAGAATATACAAATTTATAAAGATATTCATTAACAATCTTTGCGTCTTTAATGAATGGAAAGTTTTCAGCATTTTCATTGAGTTTAGCAGAAGATGATGTTGATTTTTAATCAATAATATATTAATCTGAAAGTTTTACGTGCTAATCTCAAAGAGCTTCCGCTCAAATTTTGCTTTGTTTTCTTTTATGGCTGCACTTTTTCTTATTGTTTCGATTTATGCAATATGAATTTGGGTTTCGCACATTTTTGCTGATTTTGCACGTAATTGTAAACTCTATTATCTGATACCGTGAATAATTCTTGTTACATTTAAATACAAATTGACAAGAGACGATGGCAAATTTGCAACACGGCATAAAATTACAGTTGCTATTGTTCTTCACGAATCGCAATTTGCATTATGTTGACGATTCTTTTGCTGCTTTTCTGCACATTTGTTGTGTATGCTCGATATATACATATATAAATATATATATTTTTGTAATATGATTGTTGCGCAATAGCAAATAACATCCGAGAGCATCTGAAATTATTTGTATACCAATTAGTTTATAAATTAAACCAGCTGAGAACACATACATACGTAAACAAGCAGCGGAAGTACCTGGAAAAAGGCAAACAAACTTCTGTGCCTGTGTGTGTACACTGGACTGCATATATTAAGAGTGCAGCACGCTCACACACACATGCACACATAGACACAATTCAAATGCACGCACACATGTGTGGTTGTCCCTTTTGCACTTGTCTTTCTTGTAGGTGCACGCTAAGGCTCTGCTACGCGCTGCTCTTGTAGGCGTTTGCAACTGCTTCTACTGCTGCTGCTGCTGCTGCTGCACAAGGCGCCTGCTCGTGAACTTTGAACTTTGGCAGCGCGTCATATGTGTGTCTAAAAATTCGTTCACTCGATTTGCATTGACTAACGCAATTGCAGTTGCAGTTGCATTTGTTGTGCAGCTAGCAGGTGACAGTGGCGCTCACTCTCATTCTGTCGAGTGCTCTCTCCACTTTTAAGTTGCTCTCTCGCCGCCCCCGCTGCGCAATGCAGCAGAAGCGAACGCATGAAAAAGAAATCGATAATTGCAAGGTTTCCATTTCCACCACCACCACCATGACGACGGCGACGACGTCGACGACAACGATGAGCGCACAATTCGCAAGTATACAGATTTTTATTGACGCTTCGCAGCCGCTAAGTTATTGAGTTGCTCTTTTCTCGCGGCCGATCAAATTCCAACATGTGTTTGACCATTGCAGAGAAAAAGAGATGGGAAGAGAGCGGCAGCACCAATGCTCTCCCTGCTGACCATTAAACGTATGTATGTACGATATGCATACACACCATTGTATGGTGAGACGACGGCGTTGGCATCGCCGCAACTTGCATCCACTTTTTTCTCCTTTTTTACCTTGTGCTCGAATTGTCTGGTTGCTTTCTATGCCCGCTGTGGTGTCTCTGTATTTGTGCTTCTTCTCGTTTCCGTTTTGACAGCAGCAAAAACTACAATTTCACCACCACTTGCAAAGAATATACACATACATATGTACATAACTGCATGCATGTGTGTGCGTGCGTGTGTTTGTATGCGTGAGCCAAGTGGATAGTGAGGTGAGGCAAGGTGTATGCCGCGTCGTCATCGTCGCCACCGCCGCAAACTGTAACCGTGGCAGTGTTGTAGCCAGCTACTCGTCTGTTTGGTTTCTGATTTTCAGTTTTGTCGATTTCATTATGTACTGCAATATCATCGCTATTGCTCCGCCGAACTCGTGAGCGAGTGGCCTCTATCTTTGTATGCCGTTTTCTCAGTGTGGGTGTTCTCATCTCTCACCAAAAGTGCGCTCTCACGACAGGGTGTCGCTACACTATATGCGCCTCATGACGAACGATAAAAACACCCTGTTGCCGTTCATTAGAGAGTCATGCTGACTCTGTCACACCGCATGTAACTGTCGTGCCTTTTGCACTTACGTAAGCTTTGCGTATTCAGGTTTATGAGCCATTTTTGCACTTTGCTTGATTTTTCGTAATTGTTTTAGATTACACATCGAAAACGTGAAGCTTCAACGAAAAATGACAATTTAACTCGTGATCTTGCCTAGCTGTCTATATTCTGTTCGAATTATGCTTCCTCTCTACTCCAACGTCGAACCATTCTGGTCAAAGAAGTTTGGAGTGATTTTTCGAATGAATACAGCGTGCTGTGCTCCGCACACATCCATTCGCTCGGTCGCTACCACGAAATGTTTTCTGCCACACAGATTGCCATTTGAACGCACGGCAACAAGACTTGTTACACGCCGTGAATACATTTGTGTGCTGAGCGTAGATTATATGTGCGACATATTATATACATAGCCACCATGTATTTACTTTAATACTCAAAGTAGCATTTTCCCCATTTTACTTTTTTCTTTTTATGCTCGAAGAGGCTCGCGATGTTGCTCTGCTGCGTTGCCTCCCTGTTTGATATGCTGCTAGTAGTCGTAGCCCGTTGCCACTGCAGTAATATAGCAACAACAGCTACTAAAATGAAAATGAAGAATTCCAAAGCAACACTGTGCGCGCGCATTTACTCTCCGTCTCATCCACCCGTTTTTGTTTCTTACGCTCTCTCCGTCTGTTCGCTGCCTGGCTCGCTGACTGGCTGCTTGGTTGGTTGGTTTGCTCTCTCCGCATTTCGCGCTCTTTTGTTTCTTTGCTCACACTGGCCGTCGTTTAATCGAAAATGTTTGCGGCGGCGTTAAGACGTACGAAAACGTTTCCTCGCCAAATTTTTGTGAATATCTGTAGAAATTCACTGGGAGGAAAATTGTTAAAAAGTGAATTTCAATTGAATAGTGTAAAAGTATTAAATCTACATCTGCTTACCGCGTAGCATTGTTTATAGGCTGAGGCAAATAAATAGATTGTGAAAAACTACTCCAATACATACATACAATACAATGCCCATGTACTGAAGAAAAAATAAATTAAAAAGGTGAAAAGTTGTACAGTGTGAAACAAATGCTAGTGCAAAATACTGCGTAAAACGTGAAAGTTTTGAATAACAAGCCAACGGTTTATAGTAAATACACTTCTATATGTATATGTGCATACATACTTACATATTTTTTTAATACATACATATGTACAGCGTTTCTGATGTAAGTTCCCTTTCGTGGGGTGAGGAATATATAAGAAAACAGAACTAATTTGTGCCCAAATGTATCAGAGCCGTTTAGTTATATGATAATTTATACCATCTGCGTACTTGTTCACAGCTAAAACTTGTGAAAAATACAACATTTTTAGGTTAGGTCAATTTCAATTGGTTTATATACGACGACGGCACACAAACACACACATACACACGCAAGCGACATGCACAAAAGACATGCATACACACACATATAAAACGCACAGACAAAAAGTCGTCGACGAGCTGCTCGCACTCAACACACACATTGACTTACTCGCGCACAGTCACAAACACGCGCATATATATATACACACACACAAAGGTTTTTAACATTGCTTTTGGCTTGCTTGTGAACTGACTGTATTTTTTCAACGTAGTGTCGTTTTATTTTCGTTCGTATGTTCGTCCGCCTGTTCTCAGTTCGTGCGCTTATCTCAACTTTTGCTTTGATGCGCCATTCGCATGTACGTCTGTATATATATTTTGTGCATATGTACGCGCATTTTAGAATGTGTGCGTGCGAGTATATGTATATATATTTATATATAAATGTATATATATAAATGGGCTCCCAACACAGAATAACTCACTGGTAGGCAGCTGGCTTGGCCAGCAGCTCCAAGAGCAATCGCCAACGTCTCTCTGCCTCTCTCGCTCTTCGTCACATTTTTTTTTTTTTTTTTTTTTTTTTTTTTTTTTTTATAAATATGTATGAATGTGTTTTAATGAGAGCATCTTCTTCGCTCACAACTATTCGGCTTGAATCTACTAGTCAGTCTACCTTCTAGATTGTTGTTCTTGTTTTGTATTTTTTTACTCAATATATTGTGTCTAAAAAATATATATATAAATATACATACAACTATAGGCAGATAATTCTCTACACATCCATATGTTTTATGTATTTTGCAAAATTTATTAATAGCTTTAAGAGTGTGTTACCTAGTGTATGCAAAAATCGAAATAAGAATGAAAGAGAACTATTAATATACGAATAATTAAAATATACCGTGCAAAATAATAAGAAGTTGCCGTCGAAACTAAATATTTTTGCATACCTGCCTACATTTGCGTTATTCCCTGCTGTGTATACATAACAAAACAGATAAGATAATAGACGTGTGCACGTAATACAGCTATACAGCTCTAGCTATGATGAATAAAAATAAAGAGAAAAAATGGAGGGAAAATTTGCCCACATGTCTCCCCTTCACATACACGCACACTCACACGCACATGAGCATGAACACGACAACTACATCGAACGCCCCAATTTTGCTCGATTGAGCTCCTCAACTGTGCTCACCGCGAGAGCAACAAATATATTCATATATGAGCAGATATGTGTATATGCATGTATACAAGTGTGTGTGTGTGTGCCTGCTAAGGCGGTCGCAGCGCTGCTCCAAAATACAGACAGCAGCAGTACACGCAGAGCAATAACAACAAAAGGCCACACACAGTTATTCAGACAGTGAGAGAGAGAGAGGGGCGAGAGAGAAATTAGGAGAGCTGTGCTGCTTCGTGTCGTGTGCCGCGCGACAAACGCTTTCAACTTGTTTTCGCATTTGGCCATAACACTTGAAGGATTATTTGCTGCGGGAAGCGCCACATACCATGACAAACAAACATACACATGCACACACGCTCTCTTGATAATCAAAAAGTGTGGGGGCCCCGGTACAGTTTTCAAATGCAAATTACTGTAATTTGTTGTTTACAAATGCACATATTTTAAGCGTTCGCATTGGACTCGACAATTATTTTGCTAGGCCGATTCGCAGAGGAGGTGGCCATAGAGTCATCCCATGGTATTTTTATTCCACTACCTCCCGCTAGCATATACATTGATACGCATAGTCACATACATATACATGTATGTATGTGTATACAGCCGCAGACATTCGCTTCTAAATTCAAGTTATATTTACACTTTTAACGACACGAAAACGCACACACTGGGGAGCACACAAATGGCTTGCTTCTCGTTTTTGGCTGTGTTGTAGTTGTAGTTGTAGTCGTTGCCACTACTCGGTAGAGAGCCCGCCAAATACTTGTTTATAGTTGTTGCTGTTGCTGTTGTTGAGCCAACGTTGAGAAAAGTCTTTGAAAATATCCAAACTGCGCCACAAAACAAATATTCAGCCCTCTTTCTCTTCTTCTCCTCTCACTACCTTGTTATATGCGCTTACTCTCTCGCTCTCCTGCATGTTGATGCAGCAGAATTGAAGGAAAGAAGAAAAGCAAAGAGAGTAACAGCCGCCTCAGTCACCACCACTACCAGTACCACTACCACCATACTATGTACTCATTCTTTTCTGTGGCGGCTGCTGAGCTGCCTGCCTCTTGTGAATTGTGTAGATACGGGTAAACATCCTGTACTCCCCCTTTGAGAGACCCCTTCTCTCTTTCTTTCGCTCTCACGTCACACACTCGCTATGTGGATTTTTTTGTATGCATGTTGACGTCGTCATCGTCGTACATGGTTCATAAAAAGCTCTCAGCAGTCTCTTGGCTGCTGCCCTCCCTTGCCAGTTCTTACTGTACCCGTTAAAAACAACAAAGCGCGCGCGCCCAATTCCGGTTGTGCTTGCTAACAGACACACACATATATATATACACGCACACAGGCAAGCAAAAATACAAGAACGTACCCAAGTGATGACTCTCTGATCTGATGTGCGCTCTGTTCTCAGCCCTCAGCTCGCTGCTGCTGCCACTGTTGCTGCTTTTATTGTAGTTGTATTGGCTGCGGGCTGCTCATACGTGAGCATGCATAGTTTAGTGTGTGTGTGTGTGTATAGATATAATGAGGAATTTAATGTAGAATAATTTTTAACTTTTGAGAAATCCAATAGAAGATTTTCTATTTATTAACCCACTCAAAAATGCACTAAAAATACACACAAAAAGTATTGATAATACTAAATACTTATCGTGAGTCGATATATGTTGCTTAAATTATCGATGCTTCGGATTTATCAGCTGATTCTAAACTTGAAATATATATGACTGATTGTTGTTGTTTCTTAGGAGTGTTGTGCTCTTTTTATATACCTTTCAAAAGTATGTCAACGGCGAGTGTTCAGTATATAATATAATAAGTGTTTGTGTGTATGTTTGTGGGTACATTGTACAACTAATTTCATGGTTATTTAATTTCTTGTATTTCCTTTCTGTTTTTGCAGTGATTGCCGTTTGCCGAACGGAACTGCGACTGCGACGTGGCAGCGCTAGAGGAGACAGCGCCGAGATCATAGCGTAAATCAATTCGAAGTGGGCAAAAGTTCCGAGTATTTTTGTGGCCTTCCGCTGAAGCGGACTGGCACGCGTCTATATCCAAATGCATAGACAACAACAACAACATCACCAAACAGAACAACATATGTTGGATACACGATCAGAACAAGCGCTGCACTCCGATTACAGTTATCAGCTTCGACCACGACCGTTTATTGCCTACTACATACGCTCGTAGACAGTCCAATCCGACATCCTACCCACCACCTAGGCGGTGAGAAGAAGCAGCCATCTAGTGCAACTCACAAAAATTTGGGAGGAGCAACAGTACACAAAAGAAACTCTCAGCAGCAGAAGCAGAAGCAGCAGCAGATCCAACAGTACTCAAAATTCCTATCAAGCATGATGAAACGCACGCGCATCGATGAAGTCCAATTTGGCACACGTTCCGGTCCAGGGCCGGGCGGTGGCGGTGGTGCGAACAGTGGCACCACCAGCGTGGGCGTTAATACAGCCGGCGGCGTTACCATTGGCACTGTGGTGCCAAATGCCCACAGCGCCACAATCAGCGGCATTGGCTCCATACACCATCGCATATTGACGCCGCAGCATGGAGGCGCACAGACCATAGCCTATCTGCCGTCCACGACGCCGACGGCAACGAATCTGAAAACAACGAGCAGCATTGTCGATAGCGCCAGCACCCAAACGAACGTGACGGGCGTCGGTGGCCCGGGCAGTGGAGGCGTTGTCGTCTCCACGGGCAGTGCGGGCACCCAAACCTTGCAGTATACCACATGTAAGTGCCGTCGCATACATTGATGTGATTTCACCAACTTATGCAAATTCCTTGTTTTATTCTTACTACAGCTTATAGCGTTGCCTCCATCCAAGCGGGCGGCACTATGAAGGCCAGCACAGGGGACGGCAACGCGGTGCAGATACATGTGACTGGCGGCGGTGCTGCAGTATCCGCAGCAGCTGGCGGAGCAGTTGGTGGTGGCTCTCAGACAGTATCCAGCAGCTGTCAAACGGGCAGCATTCGACAGCGCACAATAAGCGGAACTCAGACAAATTCCACAAGCAGCCTGACAACAACAGCGCAACAAACACAACCATCCGCACAGTTGTCCACACCGCCCAATGGACCGGGTGTGGCAGCTGGCGCAGGAGCGGTCTCTGTGGGTGCGGGAAACAGCACGCCGCCCCAGGGACAGGCAGCGGCAGCTGGTGGCGCCACCAGTGCTGCGCCGCGACTCAAGGTCGAGGATGCGCTGAGCTATCTGGATCAGGTTAAATACCAATATGCCGATCAGCCGCAGATCTACAACAATTTCCTGGACATTATGAAGGAGTTCAAATCGCATTGCATCGATACACCGGGTGTGATTGAGCGTGTCTCGACGCTCTTCAAGGGCCACACTGAGCTGATCTATGGCTTCAATATGTTCTTGCCGCCCGGCTATAAGATTGAAATCCATTCCGATGCACTTGGCTGCTCAGTTCCAGTTGTCTCGATGCCATCGCCACCTGGAGCACCCAGCAGCACGGGCACAGTTCATATGATTGCCGCAGCGGGCAACAGCCCGTTGGCGAGCAGCGTGAATGCGCATACAACACTGAAGCCGATTGCGCAAGCCCAGGGTCCAGGTGGTCCTGGTGCCGTCGGTGGTGCTGGCGCTGGCGGTGGTGGTGCAGCTACAGCAGCCGCTGCGACTGTAGCG